AACATGTTGTGACACTGACAATAATAGTGAAACTGATTGAGATATGAATACGCAACAATCACCCAACATACAAACATACACAAACAAGTATACAACCAAAAACAAAATCTGACGCAATATATACATGTACATGTACATGTACATGTACATGTATATGTACAAATGTAGCCCAGACATAATAACTTTTATGTTATGTTGAGAGTTTGAGTATTTTTGGCTTAAATTTTTCAAATTACAGCCATTAAAAAAATAGGCCAATTTCTGAAAAAATCCCTGTACTATAGCCCATGCTTTTTTCCAAAAAATGGCTCCGAAATCACCCCCAATATTTATTACATTTTCTGATACATATTGATGTACTTATGCTATGTAGAAAGTTTGAGCTGACTCTGACAAATATTTTTCAAGTTATGAAAATTTCAAATTTTTGAAAAAAAAGCATATCGGGAAAAGTACGTGGTTTTTTCCCAAAAAAATGACTCCAAAATCATCCCAAATATTTATGACCTTGGCAAGGTCATTTTATGATTAAATTCAACCCCAACAATATATAGATAAAATTGTACATGCATTATAATATAATATATAAATAATTATAATTATACAGTGCATACACATTGATAAAGATATGTACATGTACATGCACTATAAAATGAATGACTGTATTCCTGTACCTTGTGCTGCTATATAAGCATTCTGTCTATTGTAGCCCTGTAATGAAGAACAAACTGATGAACAATTAAACATAAACCACCTTTTCACACTCTGTAGATCTACACTTCATTTCTTTGTTCTTTATACTCATACACTATCTATCCCTTTAATTTATCTCTCATATCCCTTCTCCCCCTCCCTCCCTGCCTCCTTCCCTCCTTCCCTCCCTCTCCCTCTCTCTCACATCAATAAATGAAGCATTAATATAGTCACTGCCTTCAATACCATCCAACACTGAGAGGACAACACGAGAATCATCAACTACAGGAATAAGAGAAAAGGAGAAAAAGATGGAGAGAGAGAGAGAGAGACAGAGAGACAGAGAGAGAGACAGAGAGAGACAGAGAGAGAGAGAGAAAGATAAGGAAAACTAACAAGTGAGCAATTACATATACATTTGTAAGTACATGTACAGTGTATATGTCATCATGAGTAAAAGACAAAGTAAGTTTATAAGATCAAAATGCAATCACCTAATTAGAGAATATGTAACAACAATAATAACACCACACACATACACAACAATAATAGTACATGCCTTGTCTACGTGACATGCATATTTATAACTTCCTTGTTGCATCTCAATACAATATGTAATTGGTCATGTCAGGCCATCACAGCCTGCCAGGACAGCTAAAGCTCATTATAGAACTGGTAAAGTATACAAGTACAACTCTATATGCACTTGTCAGTTCAGGCCCTCTCTCTATATGTAAGGTGTTGGTATGAGCAGTATAAAGGTGACAATAATGATGAGTCATTGTCTGTCACGTACATGTACACTGGTAATGGATATTAATTGTGATTATGTTATATAGTGGCAATCAAAACATATGTACATGTACTAATTACTAATGTATACCAAAAGGATTGATAGAAATTTTACTGAGAATTATTGCAGTAAAAAATACTTAACTGTATCAATATATTACAAGCAACACAATTGCACTGTACCAGCTAATACAAAAAAAAAACTAGAAAAAGATCTGATTGTTGGAGAAATAATAGCTACCTGTGCTTGACTATTTTTTGGCAATTTTGTTGCTATATTTACTTGTACATGTACATGTATACACTTACATGGATAGATGTTAGCGAATCTGTTCTTGGGTCCATTGCAATCGAGTTTAGCAATAAAGTGAGGATAGACTTTAGGAGAAGCAAGTGACTACATAAAGAGAGAAAAGAGAAAGGATTTTAAAAATGAATGAGCGAGTTTTTAGTATGTAGCAGCTGCTGTTTTTTTAAAGTTAAAGTGGAGTTTGATTGACGTACGTGGTATTCAAGTTCAAATCCTTTCTCTCGTTCTCTGTGCATCTCTTTAACGTGTTGAGAGAAAGCACTCCTGGGGATAGGCTTCATCCTTTCCTCCTCTGAATAATAGGGGCAATAAAAATAAAATAAAAATAATATAAATTAGAAAAAATAGAAAAAATAAAATAAAATGAAAAAAAAAAAAATTAAAAAAATTAGAAAAAAATAAAGTAAAATAAAATAAATCCAAAAAAATTAAAAAAATTAGAAAAAAAGAAAATAAATTAGAAAAAATAAAAATTAAATAAATATAAATAAATTTTTAAAAATAAAATTAAAATAAATATAAAAAAATTAAAAAAATAAATTAGAAAAAATAAAATAAAATACAATAAATTGGGGAAAAAAATAGTTGAAAAAAAAATAAAATTAGCAAAAATAAAATAAAATAAATTAGAAAAAAATAAAAATAAATTAGAAAAAATAAAAATAAAATAAATAATAAAAAATAAAAATAAAATAAATATAAATAAATAAAAAAATAAAATAAAATAAATTAGAAAAAATAAAAATAGAATAAATTAAAAAAAATAAAATAAAATAAATTGGAAAAAATAAAATAATTCAGAAAAAATAATAATTAAAAAATAAAATAATAAATTAGAGAAAAAATTTTTAAATAAATTATTAGAAAAAAATAAAAAAATAAAATAAATTAAAATATAAAAAATAAAATAGAACAAAATAAAATAAAATAAAATAAAATAAAATAAAATAGAAAAAATAAAATAAAATAAAATAAAAAAAATAAAAAATAATAAAATACATAAAATATAATAAAAATATCTCACCAGGTATTACTTCAGGATATGCTACAGTTTCTTCTTCCTCTTCCTCATGCTCTACGTTCCCATTTTGTAAAGAAGCAAATTCTCTCAGTTCAGCTTTTTCATTGACTGCCTCCAAGTCAAGGGTAGACGGATATGCATTGTCAGCAGTTTTTGATAACATTTTAAACCTGAAGTGGAAAATAAAATAATAATAACATACCATATACCAGCTTATTTAAACGGTGAAATATTTTTGCAAATTTATTAAATGTGCAATAACCAGGTACATGTACATGCAAGTCAACTTTCAATTGTGTCCGCTAAGTATAAAATTTACATGAATTATTACTGTACCATATAGCCGGAAAGTTTCATGGCAAAAAAACTTTCGTTGTTTGGAGGTTCCTGGCCTATTTGTGGTTTTTATTTTCGTGGATCATCATTGAAGCAGCCACACCATTAATTTGCTATAATACCACACCTTTTCAATAATAATTAAAATTATTCTTGGTTTTTAATTTCGTGGTGCCCTTCTAAACCACAAAAACCACGAAAGTTTTTGGCCACGAAACTTTCCGGCTATATGGTATTTATTTTTGTAGCCGCAAAATAGTTGCATGAAAATGTAGATTTTTAGTTTTTTTTGTAACGAAGCGTAAAAACTTTTGTATTTTATTGTATTTTTAATATGCATGTGTGAATATTAATGTACATGTATGTGAAATTACCTGGCAACACAGACAACAATGATGATGATTAATATTATGAATGCAACAAGGATAACAGCACCGATGGCAGCACCAATAATTGTAATGGGGAGTCCAGAAGCTACAGAAAAAAAAGAGAGAGAAAGAAAAATAAAATAAAATCAAATATTATGACATCCAGAAGAGAAGAGAAGAGAGAGAGAGGAAAAAGACTAAAAAGAGAGAAGTTATGAAATATTTTTAAAATGTACAAGTTATTATAGCCTATGGTTTATCTAAAATTGTAATACTTTAACAGTCCAAAATAATACTCAAATTTAATAGTCAAAATAATAGATCAAAATAATTCACACGCAATTATTTAGTATCATCAAATCAATAAGCAAAATCACAGAATGATAGAAAACATGATGGTCGGGGGTGGTCGGGACAACCACCTCAACAAATGAACCAACCAGTTCATCACTT